GGGGGCAGGAGGGTGGTAAGGGGAAGCAATGGCAATGACGATGACGATGGGTCAGTGTTTTCCATCCTTATCTCTGTCTCTTTAAATATATATCTCGTAGAACTTAAAAGCTGGCTTCGTTGTATCCGGTCAGCGGGAACTCGACAAGACTCGACGACCGGCCCTAAACGGTCGATTCGTCGAGGCGAATCCCCGTCGCGTTAAAAAGAGATTATTGGCAGCCGTGGAACTGAGACTTTGTGCGCGTTCGGTCTCCTGATGATGACGACGACGACGGCGGCGGCGGCGGCGGCGGCGGCGACGCGGCGCGGCGTCACACCGGCATGGTAGGATGACGATGACGATGACGACGATGACGATGACGACGATGGCGATGACGACGATGGCGACAACGACGACAGCGAAGAAAAAAGGCCAACTTTGAGGACTGCCGAGAGGGATTATCGCGCGGGCGTCGTCATTGTCGCGAGCGCTAACACGTTGTCTTCCAGCTATCCCCAGCAATCGTCACGTCCGCTGGAACAGTTATTAACCGACCATGCTCGGGGAGTGGTAGAAGGTAAATCGCTGACGCAGCCGCTGCTGGTGCACCGAGTGTCGCGACACGGGAGACTGACGGGCGGCGACTCGGCGGAGTCCCTCTTAGGAGAAAATACGAAGCACCTGCAGGACTGGTCTGGAGCACACCGGGCAGCTTGGATCCTGATTCTCGCAGACCCGATTGCCGCAGTCCATGCAGAAGAGATTGTGCCCGCAGGGTACCAACGCCGCGGTGACTTCCTTCTCGCCGCAAACGACGCAGTCCCGTCGTGCGCCGCCCAAAAGCGAATCCGTGGGCGACGCCGGGCTCGCCGTCGCCGGCGGCGACGGCCTCGAGGGTAGCGCGACGCTCGGAAACGACCAGATTGACGATGTCGAGGTCGGCTGCGACTCGAATGACGGCGACTCGCCAATTCCCTCGTCCCTCTCTATCCCATTCCAAATAGCAACGAGGTCGTTCATCCCTATGCCACCGGTACTGCTGGACGAGCTGCTGCAGCTGGCACTGCTCGAAAACGCTCCGTTAGAACTACTGGAGCTGTTCGATCCCGGTTGGTCCATACTCTGAATACCGAGAACCGAGCCGAGACCGCCGCGGCAGAGTACGCCCAGCAGATCAGTATCATCGACGACGCCTGGTGCAGTGCCCGTTCGCAGGGTAATGTGAGCCTGTATCTCGCGTCTGGCCGCTTCCACGCTTTCCGGTAGTCCCGTAACTTCGAACACAGGCTCCTTGTCGCGACTAGGTGTCACGATATAGGTATGCGTCTGATGCTGAATTCGTTTGATGGTCGCGCCCTTAGGGCCTACAACCAGACCCACCACTCTGTAGGGCACTCGTACCTGAATCGTTATGTGACCGGGCACCGTCGCGGGTGGTCCTGGTGGCGCGCCCAGAAGTGCTCCCAAGGAGCTCTTGCGCGACGCGCGAATCTGTGAGAAATGTTCCGCGGCGGAAAGAATCTCACGCTTCGCACGGGCCACGTCCTCCTTGCGACCGGTGACGACGAAGACGGGTTCTTCACCGCGCACTGGTGTCTTGATATAGGTATTCGTCTTCGCTCGGAGGGCCTTGATCTTGCAGCCTGCAATCAAATCAAGAAAAATACCGCTCAACATAGTTACTGTTCGATCATTTCAATATCTACAGCTATATCTGCCTATTTTGCCATTTTTCTATTTTTAAGCACAATTGAATATATGAATCATTGAAAAGATATCGATATTGCGTACTGTAAGCGTAATGAGAGGACATTGATTACAATTATTATGCTACTGTGCGCGCCCTCGAGTGGCACGCGAGTTTCATTTTTTATTTCTCTTTTATTCCGTGTCGGAGCACGAAACTGCCCGCATGCGCGCGTAATAAACCTTCAAACGCAGCAGCGCGTCCGTGATGCAATTGTTTGCGTATTATAGAGGGGCACAGCGTGAAGGAAAGAACCGAGAAGAGAGAAAAGGAGAGGACTTGGTAGGCAAGAGAGCGGCGCGGTGCGGTGAGAGAGAGAGAGAGAGAGAGAGAGAGAGAGAGAGAGAGAGAGAGAGAGAGA